ATTTTGAGTCTAAGGATTTATTGTTAATTGTTTTTTTGGTATCATTGTTTATGTGTGGTAATCTGTTAAAAATCATTTTTTGAGCTGTACGCAAAATATTTATATTTGAAATTCTATATTTGGGATTTGCTTCAAAATAATTTGGGTGGGGGTATAAATGAATGAGATTAGCAATCTATATATATAAAAGGATAATATGCTAAGTGTCCGACCTTCTGACTGGTCGCTATGACGTGCACTGACCACCAGGAGGCAGATGCTCAACGCAGGAGCTGCCATAACACACACTGACCATTTACAGAGAAAACGGCACCATGGACCTGGCACCCACAAAGCAACACTCGGCTTCCCCCATGTGGGACACAGGCCCTGCCACCACCCTGGAGTGACAGCCCACCAAATTGTAGCCGATGCTGCCAAGACCCCATTGCGCAAAATGCGGCCCACAGCCCAGTCCAGTCTGGAAAGGGTAGCTGTGGGTGCTGAGTAATGACGTCACATAGCAACGCCCGGCTTCCTCTCCCTAGCGACAGGCCATTTAACAATAAATGGTACTGTGGACCTGGCACCCACAAAACAACACTTGGCTTCCCCCAAGTGGGACACAGGCTCCGCCACCATCCCGGAGAGATACCTCGTCAAATTGCAGCTTACATTGCTGAGACCCCATGGTGCAAAATGCAGCCCACTGCCCAGCCCAGCCCAGGAATGGTGGCTATGGGCACTGGGCAATGACGCAACATAGCAACTCCTGGCTTCCTCTCCCTAGCGACTAGAGTCAGGCGTGGGCAAACTTTTTGACTCGAGGGCCACAATGGGTTCTTAAACTGGACCGGAGGGCCGGAACAAAAGCATGGATGGAGTGTTTGTGTGAACTAATATAAATTCAAAGTAAACATCATTACATAAAAGGGTATGGTCTTTTTGTTTTTATTCTTATTCATTTCAAACAGGCCGGATCCGCCCCGTGGGCCGTAGTTTGCCCACGGCTGGACTAGGCTCCTTGGAGTTTCTTCAGCCCAGGAACACAACTTGCTTTATAGCCAGGTGAAAACATTTTAAACTTTAACCAAATGTCTGTGAAGTGTTTTCCTGTGCCTCATCTCATTTGATCCTCACAGAAATCCTAGAGTAGGTAGATAGGAGACTCGGTGGAATCCTCTTTTCTTTTCATTAGCTGGAAAATGGAGATTTAGAAAGCTTAGAAACTTGACCCAACTGAAAAGAAGTAAGAATTGGTGGACCTTGAAAATGACTTCAGGTTTTCTCACCACACAGAATATAGACAAACACTGCTGCAATTAAGTATTTTACCCCCTGTTCTCCCTGTGTGATCTACAATAATAATCTGCTTTGTGTTGATATTTACTGCCGTGTTGCTAACAATTACCTGAAAGAGAATTTTGGGTGTTATACTGGGCTGGAAAAAGTTTAGCTAAATCAGAAAGCAGATCTAATTAAGCACGTTTATTCTATATATATAAAAGGCTAAGTTGACTCGCGCATGCGCGATACATATAAAGCTCTCACTGGTGCCACTTGCACGCGTGTGTTTCGATCTGTCATTGTTGATCCTGAATTTAGTTGACACTTCTATTATAGAGAAAGGGCAAATAGTGATATTAAAATGTTCCTTCTAATTAATTTCCTTTCAATGTGCACGGATTTGTGCACCGGGACACTAGTGTACTGTATTAATAATTGATGAAATAGATTGATGATCCATTTAGTTCATAACACTGTTCTCTAAAATGTATGTTTGAAAATTTCTGTAATACATTTTTTAAAAAGTTAAATTCTTATTTTTTAATTTGTTTGTTGTGTTATTTTCAAATATAGCAGGTTCTTCTTTATTTGTACTTTATGTGTCTATAAGCTTTACTTAATAGCTACTAATTTGTCTGCCATCAATTTTGTATATTTGTGATGAACAAAGAAGTGATAGATAAAATAAATAGAAATTAGTTTTTAAGTCCAAAGCAGCAGCTATCATTTTCTCCTATATCTTTTTCATCCAATAAAGAATTTGATTATTGGGGTCTAGGAGCATTCTTAAGAGTTTTCTGAATCACTAAGTTACACAATTTTAGGTTCTTGGTTCTTTGCAAATGGGTGGTTCTCATCCATAAGATAAGTCTCATCCCTGTTTGCCCAGATAGCCCTTCTTGGGACCTTTGGCTGTGTTAGGCTTGCAGTAGCACCTACAGCTCAGCTTCCTGAAGGTGTTAATCATTCCACCTCAGGGCTGGCCTCCCTAGAGTGCTACTGCTTTTTGTTTTAATTCACTTTAGACTTGTCTTAATGTAAGTTAAGGTGGGTATAACAGAAGAAAAATGTTGTCCTTCAGGGAATTTTGACACCATAATTTATTTTTAATATCTCGTCAATGTTTAGTTAGTGCTTACTGTGCTTTAGGTACTATTCTAAATGCTTGGGATTATCAAAGAAAACACAAAGATTCCCATTCTTATGAAGCTTATAGTTTATTTAGGTAAGACAGAAATAAACTATATAATATGTAAATTATAAAGTATTTGGTATGGTATAAGGTGGAAAAAAGAAAAAATGTAAAAACAGAATGAGGGATTAGGAGTACTGGATAGGGGAGTGCAGTGTGTTGGGGTGCCATTTTAAGTAGGTGTTGTCAAGCACAGACACTGGAGCAGATGAGCGAAATCGGCCTTTGGGAGAGCCTGATAGAGAGTAGTTAGGATGAAGGCCCTGAGGCAGAAGCCCCCATGGCATGTTTGAGTTTTACAAGAGGCTGGAGTAAAATTAGCAAGGGGGCAACAGGAATAAGAGATAAAGGTGAGGGGCATCAAGGATCAGATCACTTGGGAGAATTTGTAGATTATTGTGAAAACTCCAGTTTTTACACTAGAGTACTCATGAAAGGTTTTGCAGTTTTTGAGAAGAGGAATGTCATAATCTGATGTGCTTTACAAGGATGTCAGTGGCTGGTGAGAATATACTGGGGCGGGGGCAGAGCAAGGCAAGTATGAAAATAGTGAGGCCTTTGCAACAATCCAGGTAGCAGGTGATGGTTGCTTAGAGCAAGGTGTTAGTAGTGGAGGTGGTGAGAAGTGGTCAGATTTTGGGTGAATTGTAAAGGTAGGTTTTTTTTTTTAAACTTGATTGAGGTGAAACTTTTCTAAAAGCTTTCTCTTTGGAGAGTCAGAAGACAGATAAATTTGAATTGGTACTGCATTTAAGGTTCTGGAAAGTCTTTGTTTTTTTGACATGTATAGTTTCTTTTTGGCAAAAGCTTATGTAGCTTTACAGGATCTTTTAGTGATTTCAGAAGCAGTTATTCCATTTTGTGTGATGATGAGCTTTTAGACAAGTAATTTTTATAGTAATTTAAGGTCTGATATTCAGTATTCTTATTAATAAGATGGCATCCAAATATTCACCTTCCTGTGAATATTGTAAAATACCCAAATTTACTTAAAAACTTGCATAGCAGACAATGGCAGATGGTTTTTATTTAGAATCAAGTCTATGAATGACTAAGAATGAAAGATAAAACTAAGAATATTTTGTAAAATGCCATTGATTCCAGATACTGGGATTGAACCCAAAATGATCAGTGGGCCTACTGAGAATACTAGATTCAGCTCCAAATGTCTGTCCTGATCATTTAGTTTATTACTTCAGCATCTCTTTTACATCTTTGCTTGAAGAAAAGTCATTTCTTATATCCAAATTCTGTTTCTAGAAGAAGGAAGTACTAAAAATGCTGTCAAGACAGCTCAACTCACATCCAAGTTCCTATTTCAGTTATTCTTCCATTTGAACTCTATGTGGCAGCTTTCTTTGCAGTTTCTTTGCAGTGTTTTTCATCTGATACGAGAATTGGAGAAACTGTTTTATATTTTCAGAATCCTTTAGAATTTTTTTTTTAAAGTGGGAGTTTGAAGAGGTAAAGTTGTTTATTCCAGTTGGCCCTTCCTCCTCTCTTTTTTCAGTGCCCCCTCCATCCCCACCTTTACGTACATTGGAAAACAGTTATTGGGCTTAACCATTTAGTTTTTCATTGGAACCATTTGGGTATGTTTCTGAGTGTCTACTTAGATTTTGTTTTGCCAGTCTGTCACCGATCTTCTTACTAACAATCAAATCTAAAGACTTCAATATGTATTGCTTTGAGTTTTTAGTGTTGGAATGATTAGAAGAATAGAAACAAAAAATAAGGAACAGCAAACTAATGAGTAGGCACTTGTTCAAGGAATCCATTACTAGCTGGCTGAGATCTTTAAGGAGTTGGCTATGGAAGGAGATGAAGTGACTGATTATAATGGTAACTGCTTGCTATTATGTGTTAGAAAATGGGGTGGTTAATTATCCTGCATGCTATTTGAAACCTTTGAAAATAAGTCTTTTAGAGCTGGCTAACAGTATTCCTTTATTTACTTTCTTATGTTCAAATGTGCAGTTTGAGGCTTAAAAATTACTTTGGGGACATCATAGTACTTTACTTCCCACAGTAAAAATGATCCTGAGGGTCAGGTATATATTTTTGTTGCATCAAGGCTTAGAAATGTAAGCACATTTCATTGTTTTAGGGCATTTCTAGATGTATCCACTCATTTTGAGTTATGCCAGGTGTAGTATAAGGTAAGAATACTATATCTGAAGACATTCACTTAAACTTTGACTCTTAATCAGATTAAATAGATCTTGTGATGTCAACTGAGAACTATGTTGATCCAAGATACTGGTAAATCTTAATATTTTCCATTGGTAAATCAACTACTTATGTTGGGTTTTACTTATTAGTTATTACAAATGAAATGATAACATTTCTAATTGTAAAATTTCTCTAAATTGGGAAAAATTTTAAAGAATTTCTTTTGGCATATAGCCATATTTTTATTTTAAAGAAGTCTAGAATTATATCTATATGCAAAGCTTTTTAGTTGCCTTACTATATTACTTAATTGAATATGTAGAGAAGATGACACTGGGAATTTTTAAAAGAATAATTTTTCTGTTGTTAGCTTTTTAGTTGGAGAAGGAGCCTACAGATGGGCAGTAGATCATGGAATACCTTCTTGCCCTCCTAACATCATGACCACAAGTGAGTAAAAACTTTTCAAAATTAAGCTATATTAGCATATATACCTGAGAGTGTTATATTGCTTTTGACCCAGATAGTACTGATATTTAAGGAAGAAAGCTTGTATGTTGAAAAATTTTAGTTAAAAGACACATAGAAAATTATTTGCTTTTAAGCTATGTTTATATTCCTGAGGTCCCTGCATTGCATCTTTTTAAAAACAAACAAAAACCTTTTATTTATTTTTAGAGAGAGAGGAAGGGAGAAGGAGAGAGAAAGAGAAACATTGATGTGAGAGCAGAGCATCGATCGGCTGCCTTCTGCACGTCCCCTATCCAGGATCTAGCCTGTGACCTGGGCATGTACCTTGACCGGAATCGAACCAACAAACTTTTGGCGCATGGGACAATGCCCAACCAACTGAGCCACACTGGTCTGGGCCCTGCATTGCTTTCTCATGTTTTTATAGAAGAATTGCTAAAAGGATTTCTTTTAGGTTACTTAAAATAATTACTAACAGTAAAACCATAATACCACCCCCTCAGAGAATGAGAAGAAAACAGATCATCATTTAGCTGTCCCTGAGTTGAGGAAGGCCTTTCTATGTACCAAGTGTAAGAGAAGGAAAAGCAAAAGTGACTGTGGGAGTTAAGACTGAAAAAAACACTTACCATAAATATGACAAAAGGATACATGTTCTTAATCTATGAAAAGGTTTACCTAGCCCTATCCGGTTTGGCTCAGTGGCTAGAGCACTGGCCTGTGGACTGAAGGGTCCCAGGTTTGATTCCGGTCAAGGACATGTACCTTGGTTGCGGGCATATCCTCAGTAGGGGGTGTGCAGGAGGCAGCTGATCGATGTTTCTCTCTCATTGATGTTTCTAACTCTCTATCCCTCTCCCTTCCTCTCTGTAAAAAAATCAATAGAATATATCAAAAAAAAAAGGTTTACCTAAATTAAGAACCACACATGTAATACCCCAGTAGAAAAATGCTCAAAAGTCATAAGTAGGTAATTTAACTAATAGGGAAATTTATATCAAAATTAGGACATGTTAAATTTGTTCTCTTAATTTGTGAGAGTTAAAAAATATTACATTATTACTGGTAGATGTGTGGTGAACTGAACATCATATATTATAGCTACAACTGTGAATTGGCAGAAATTTTGGAGGATAGCTAAATAGTATCGATCAAGAGCCTTAAACATATTCTGATTCTAGGAACTTGTCATTAGAGATACTAAGGTTTATATAGAAGGGTGCAATGCTCCAACTAACTGAGCCACACTGGCCAGGGCTATTTTGTTTGGAGACACCTCACCTGGCACCTTAAGGTCTAGAGTGGATGCTTATTGGGCCTGCTGTGTATTTGTCATTGCTGGTCTTCACCTCATCATCATTTGGGATTTCCTTTTCCTCTCTCCAAAATCACATTATCTGTTTCCTGAATCAATCAATCTACCTACCTATCTGTCTATCTATCTATCTATCTATCTATCTATTTATTTTTAAAATTATTTTGCTTCTGCATTTAGTATATGCAAGACTAGAAATAATTTTCTCTTAGGCTTTTGAAGAAATTATTTTTATTTTAAAATTTTCAGTCTTGCTGTTCAGTCCTTTGGCATTTTGATTCCCAGTTTTTTGTGTGTATTCTTTCTCTTTGGAAGTAAGCTCTTAATTCCCACGTTCTTATTAACACAGTGAAGTATCTTGGGATGGGTCTTTTTTATTCAGCATTCTGGGTACTCATTTTGTACTTTCAGTGTGGAGATTCGTATGCTTCAGTTTTGGGGAAACTAAAAAAATAGTATACTAATCTCTTCCCCTGTCCTTCAATTTTCTTTTTCTAATTTCTATAAATTAAATGGTGGATTTTGCTCCAATCCCTTGTTTCTTTTTCAAAAATTGATTAATTTTTAAAAAAAATTTCTGTTTTTTGTCCTGTCTTGGAAGTTTCTTTAAGTTTATCTCCTAAGTTTTTAAATTGTGATGAATTTATAATTTTGGTTTTCATAGTTTTTGTTGTTAATCCTCACCTGAGGATATTTTTTCCGTTGACTTTTAAAAAGAGTGGAAAGGAGGGAAGGAGGGAGAGAGGGAGAGAGGGAGAGAGAGAAACATAGATATGAAAGAGACACATTGATTGGTTGCCTTCCTCATGTGCCTTGACAAGACCAGGGATCGAACCTGCAATTCAGGTATGTGCCCTTGACTGGGAGTTGAACCCATGAGCATTTGGGTGTGTGGGGTAGTGCTCTAACCATTCAGCACACTGGTTAGGACTGGTTTTCAAAGTTTTGATTTCTAGAGATTCATCTGTGATGAATACTTTTAAAAGTAGTGTCCTGTTCTAGGTTCACGAACTTAATATGTATTTTGGCTTATCTCTTAGGATATAATTCTTTAAATTTTGTTTTTACCTGCTGTTTCTCTTTTTGCTGTCTTATTTTTTGTTTCAGACCCCAATACATGTTAGCCAATTTCCTCAGCCATACAGTGACCCTCTGATGTTTTCATGCTCATGAGTGTGGCACTTAAAAGCCATTTGGAAGCTTTGTTTGTGAGGACAGGTCTGGGTGACTTCAAGGGGGATGGTGTGATCATGCTTTTTTTGTTGAGGGAATTCCCAGTTGTTCCCCCAACAAAACCAAATGTTTGTATGTGTTTCTTTTGTACTAGTTAGAGAGAAATCTTCCCAGCTCTGGCAGGGCAGTAGCCAGTATTCTGGTTTAGATCAAGGGAAGGGGCTTTTAAAATTTTTTTTCCAGACTTTTTATATAAATCCCAGTTTTAAGCAGAACCCTCATACCTGCCCCTAGGCTGTACTTGATGTCCACTTATTTGGGGCCCTCTGGTTCAGCCTCTCCAGTGTTAACCTCATGTTTCCTGCAAGCAGGAGGAGGGGATTAGGCATCTATCTGTTCCTTATTGATAGCTTCTGCCAGTTTCCCTGTTTTCAGTTTCAACCTGGCTTTGAGAGATAACAGGTGCTTTCTGTTTGGAGCTCTTCTGATGGTTTTTGGTCAGAAATTACTTTCTTTGGAAGAAATTAGTTTGATTAGTAATGTCTTGGCTACTAGTCATCGGGGTTTGTCTTCCTCTACTCAGTTACTGTGTATTCATTCATTTGCTTTCTGCATTCTAGCATTAGGTTGGTATTACCCTCCTCATTATTATCATCCCAGTGTATGTCAGTCTTTTGCCTCTTTAAATTTCTTTTTGGTAAGGTTTTAGTAGAGTGGAGATGAACTTGCTCGTGTGCTCAGCCAGTTTTAATTATTTTGTACTTCTTATTAATTCAGAACATTTATATAAAAAGGTGTTATAAAACAGTTATTACTAGATATTTTGCAGATGACAAAATATTTTGACTATACATTAGTGTTTTGTGCTTATAAGAAGAAATATATATGTATATATATACACACACACACATATTGCTAATAGATTTCTCGTTACTTACATAAGCAACTAACAAGAAATATTCTCTGAATAAGTAAGGTATTTGAAAGTTAAGTGATATATTTATCTATTTTTTTGCAAAAAAGAATAGTATTGACCTATGGTGCATTTAGAAGTAGAAATTATGCTCTTCCATTGTTTTCAGAATCATGTCAGCCATCCTTGGCCTCCAAAATCAGCCAACACCATTTTTGAGCTTAGCTCCTTATTGCTGAGCAGCCATGTGCTTCCAAATTCATCAGAATTATTCCACTGAGGTGGAGGCCACCATCAACTGCCTGGTCTACATGCATCTGCAGGCCTTCTACACCTACCTCTCTCTGGGCTTCTGTTTTGACCACGAGGATGTGGCTCTGAAGAGCCTGGGCCACTTCTTCTGCCAGTTGGTGGAGGAGAATTGGGAGGGCGTCTATTGTCTCTTGATGCAAAACAAGTGTGGTGGCTGCGTCCTCTTCACGATGTACAGAAACCTCCTAAATGAGTGGGGCAGGACACCATGGAAGCTGCCAAGGTCCTACAGAGGAACCTGAACCAGACCCTTTTGGATCTGAATGCCCTAGGTTCTACCCACAGTTTTCATTATCTGAAAAATCTTTATTTTTGCCTTTAATTTTAAAATATATTTTTTGTTGAATGTAGTCTTCTAGGTTGGCAGGAGTTTTCTTTTGTACTTTTTATTATTATTTTTTTATTGTGGTAAAATATACATAACTTAAAATTTAATAGTTTTAACTGTTTTAATTCATTGGTACTGAGCACATTCACAGTGTTGCATAACCATCATGGATTTCCACAACAGTTTCATCCCAAACAGAAATTTTGTACCTGTCAAACAATTACTCATTCTCCTTTTTTGTGAGCCCCTAGTAACCTCTAGTCTATTTTTTCCTCTCTGAATTTGTCTATTTTAGGGGCCTCCCATAAGTGGAATCATACTGTTACTGGCATTGGGGTTCTTGGGTTCCCCAAGATAGAAATCGAGAGGAAATCCCAGAGAAATTCCCAATCAGATTTTATTAAGCTTATGCCCAAGCACAAGGGAGATAGCACAAAGGAAAGGAAGGTCTTCTGAACTGGCTCGTGGGGGTTGGGGAAGGACTGGCTCTGCTTGGCTTGCTTTTATATGCTGGGGACAAAGTGGGCTTGTGCGAAAAGGCGGCTGTTTTGAAAAAGGCAGGCTTGCAGAATTTTCCATTTCAGTGTTGGTTGACTTCCTTTTCCAGCTGCATTGCCTGGCACTGTGGGAGCAAGATGGCAGACTGCTCATTACTGCCACCCTAGGAAGGTCCCATAGTAGTCAAACCTTAATCAACTGCACCTGCAGGTCAGTAGTTTAAGCAGGTAGTTAGAAGGGAGGTAAAATTAGATACTGCATTTTTGAATGGGAGTGAAGGGGTGGTGACATTTTTGTGGTCAGCTTACCTCAAGTTTCTTTTGACTACCTGGTCTTCACTTCGGTTCCTGGGCATCTGGTATTTTCTATTTTCAGGCCCAAGTTCCTATGCTGTCTCAATACAATGTTTGTCCTTTTGTGTCTGCCTTTTTCACTTAACA